AAATGGATTTTTATTAGAAATATTCTATTATATTTTCAAATGAAATATTTTTATTGCAGAATGTATAGTTGCTCTTCAACTTTTGTACATAATTGTGACTGATAGCACATTCATAGCTTAACTGTTCTTGATTCCAAAGTCACTTTTATTTTATTTGCTTTATTTAGTTTGGAAATAGTGTGAATACTTTTCTGTGTTTATTAATACTGGGATTAAGTTTATTTAGGAAGTAAATTTAATCCAGATTTTCATAAATACAGCAATTAATGATAGAATGACAAGTTAAAAAAGTTAAGTAGAATATAAAGAATTTTTTTTATGTATAATAAAGAAAAATTTAATCTGCATATATGTCAAAAGAATATACATACATCACTAAGAATTTGATGCTTTGTAAGGAGCAACTAAACAATATATTTTAAATTTATACAATATTTGTTTTATTTTTAATTTATAGCTGATGGTTGCCGAGAGAAACAAATAGCAGAACTTCAAGCATAAACCAAATTCAAAAGTTTTTGCATCTCAGAAATGGTTCCTAATAAGTTTTAGATCAGAATTCTATTAAAAATGAACATTTTAGGAAAAAAATAAATTGATCGTGCAAAATTTTGTTTAATGAAATAAAATACAGTAGAGCGTCGTTTATCCGAATCAATTGGGGACTGGGGTTGTTTGGATAACTTATTTTTCGGATAACCGATTATGTACGAAAAAATATATTAACCTTTCCCGTGTTGAAATTTTTCTCCATTGTGTGTCACTTTGCGTTGAATTTTCGTCGATGTTAAGCCTAACGTAAATTTTTTAAAATAATAATCGTGGCTATTGTATCGTTAAAAATTATATCTTTATTTTGTACAAACAAAATAAATACACTGGAAGCTCGGTATATGACCTTAATCCGTTCCTGGTGTTTGGACTTATACCGAATAGGACGTATACCAAACCAACCTTTCCCATCAGAAGTAATGTAAAAATGATTAATCCGTTCTCATGTTAAAAAAAAATGGCTGGCTTTAAACACCTTGCTTTCCTGGCTAGTTCCTGCTTGATTTTTCATGAGATCAGAATGTATCTTTTTAGCTTTCTCGCAAATAATTACTTCTGATACACTGTCTCTAGCACACTGTTTTTCAGTTATCCAAAGCAAAAGCAATTTCTCAACATGATCTAATGTCTTCGATCTNTTTATACAATATTTGTTTTATTTTTAATTTATAGCTGATGGTTGCCGAGAGAAACAAATAGCAGAACTTCAAGCATAAACCAAATTCAAAAGTTTTTGCATCTCAGAAATGGTTCCTAATAAGTTTTAGATCAGAATTCTATTAAAAATGAACATTTTAGGAAAAAAATAAATTGATCGTGCAAAATTTTGTTTAATGAAATAAAATACAGTAGAGCGTCGTTTATCCAAATCAATTGGGGACTGGGGTTGTTTGGATAACTTATTTTTCGGATAACCGATTATGTACGAAAAAATATATTAACCTTTCCCGTGTTGAAATTTTTCTCCATTGTGTGTCACTTTGCGTTGAATTTTCGTCGATGTTAAGCCTAACGTAAATTTTTTAAAATAATAATCGTGGCTATTGTATCGTTAAAAATTATATCTTTATTTTGTACAAACAAAATAAATATATTGAAAAATATAAAAACAAAACAAAAAAAAAATACTTTAGAAGTTGATCTAGTATCAAAAACATTCGATTCAGCACCCCACACAGTCCTCAGAAAAACACCACACAAAAATGCCAGTGCTGCCAGCTAAAACACACACACCAACAAAAAAAAAATATTGGCGTAGCCCAAGATATAGCCAAAGATTGCAGCGCCACAGTACTAGCAAAAATTTAAATTTGGCAACTGTAATTCTTTCGGATAACTGACGTTTCGGATAACCGACTTTCGGATAAACAACACTCTACTGTAAATTTGAATGTGTTCAAATTTATTCGTTGACTATGTTTAAACATATGTAGTTTTTCCTTTTTTACTTTGTTTAAAGAACAACTGAAGATGCTTATAATGTACTGTACATGAAGTGAAAGTATTTTTTTTTAAATTATAGAACTATATACAGTATATATATATTAAATTATTCTTGAATTTACAAAAACATAATTAAAAGTATGTTTGTAAAAATAAAACATAATTTTTAAGGAATTATACAAATAAATTTTTTTTCATGTTTTATATTTTATTTTTTAATTTAGGAAAAAGTGATAGCTAAGGAATCTCCAGCATTCTATTTACGCAAACTAAAGACATATCTGGATCCTCGTGCTTCGAGGAGTGCGAGAGTAAGTGTTTTTATTATTAATTGAATTAATCTAATAAATTAGAAATATAAATATTTATAGTACTTATTTGAGAGTAAAATATAAAGTTTAAAAAACTTAAGAGTCCTATTTTTAGTTCTGATTTTATAAATCTACTTATTTAATTTCATATAAAGGAAAAAAAAGGGAGGGGAAGTATTTTTACTAATATTTATTCTCGTCTAATTATAATAAAATTGCATAGAATAAGATAACTGCAATCATAAATCTTTTATTAGAATTATTTTTTCTATTTAAATACAGGATGAGTCTTTTCTCTGTGTTTTTTGCCTATCTATATATATATTTTTTGACTGATTTAGTTTAGTAACAAAGATTTTATTGTGTTAGTAATATTAGAAGACTTACTACTTAGTCACTCTCACTGCAGTTGTGCCATTATTTGTGTGTAGATGTATTAGATAAGAACTTAATTTCTTAGAATCATTAATGTTTAAAGGACCATAGGAAAAAAGACTATGACCTTGATTAACAAAATTCTAAAATAGTGATGATTCTGATGCATTTTTAAACTTAGGTAGTATTAATATCAATTAAAATTAAAAATTGAATTAAAATAAACTACCATAAACTATATAAACATAAAATTTAAATTTACAATTAAAAATATTAATTCATTTCTTAATTATTATTAATAACCAAATTTCATTTTGTAAGGAAGCTAAAATTAAAGCTTAATTAAAAGAGAAGCTCTGGGAAAATGAATACTAAAAATAGTTTACTGAACGTAATAACATTTTTAATTATAGAAAGTTTAAATTGATTTTCTCTTCAAGGTAAATGGAGCATTCCAAAATATTACCTTTATCATGAATAGTGTAGATGAACTTAAAATAAACAGTAAGTTCTTCAGCACTAGAATTTATAAATAAAAATTCAGTGTTTTAATTTGTAAATTCTAAGAAAAGATTGTGTTATTTTGCAGTTTAAAAGTTTTAGAGAATTGTATATATAATTAACTTTAATTTTCTAACAATGACTTAAACTTTTTTGTTTTAAAACCAGTTATGCTTAATTCTATGCTTAAAACAATATATTATTTATTTATTTATTTTTACATTACTGATGACAAAATGCATTTTGGGTCTTTTTAGTTGTTCTATATTATTAAGTGTTATGCATATTCATTTTTTTTACTATTTTCTTTTTAATGATTAATATTTAATTTAATTAACTTTATTAATGTTTACAAAACATTAATAAAAATTTTCATTTAAAAAAATTTTATATTAAAAATGAGTTGGTTTGCAGAAAAGAAAAATGCTAGGAGATTCAACATCAACGCAGGTGCTTAGAGACTTGGAAATATCTCTTCGTACAAATAATATAGAGTGAGTCATTTTGTTCAATTCATTTGATTTTTTTAAAGAAAAAATATTGGTCTATTTGTTTTCAAATATTGTTCTACTTTAATTCTGTTTGTATGTTTACTGACTTAATCATCTGTGAAAAATTGACACAATTTTTGTATTTGTAATGACATGATCTGTTCAGTTTTTATGGAGCATTTGTTCCACATATTTATTTTTATTTATTTTTTAAAGTAAGGCTATAAACAAAATTATTATATTTCATAAAATTTATTAATAAAATAATGACAATAGTCAAAATATTAAAAATAACTTTAAAATTTTATAAAAAGTTTCTTTAAAAAGATTGGAATTTAGCAAGTTTCTTGTTTATAGAACTTCTAAACACCCTTTTATTGTAGGCTATAATAGCTTATAATAAAGTGTGTTCAGAAGATTGTTTTAACTTATTTCAATATAATATAATTATTTTTCAAATTTATAATAATAATTTTCATTTTATAGATGGGTTCGTGAGTTTCTTAATGAAGATAACAAAGGGTTGGATGTTTTAGTAGATTATTTATCATTTCGATTAATTATTATGAGGTATATAAGAAGCTTTTTCCAGTTATAGTAAAATAAATTATGTATTTAATTTTGAATTAGAAATTTTTTTTTATAGACATGAGTATTTACCTTTAAATAATTTTGGTGAAAATAATGTCCCTAATGGTAGTATTAGTGGAAGTTCACACCGTCCTTTATTAGATCTTGATACACCAAAAATGAGAAGAGCTTCTAAACATATTGCTAAATTGAATATGGGAGAAGCAAAAGATGATATTCATGTTTGCATTATGTGTTTACGTGCCATAATGAATAATAAGGTAATTTAATTTTTAAATTATTATATTTAGTTATGTTTTTATGACTTTGTGCAATAAAAATTGTACATATTGGTAATTGCTTTAAAATGACATTTATTTTTATCTTTAGTTTTTATCTTTAGTAACTTCTTGTTTCCAATTAATATATTCATTATATGTCCATAAATTTTTTAATAACTGTGTTAATTGCAAAAATTCCTGTAATTAAAATCAACAGTGTAAATTTACATTTTTCTATAAATTTCCTGAGATATATTCTGTTTCCTTTGACAATATAAACAGGCACATACAATAAATTTTAAGTCTCATTTATTTAATATGTGAGAATCGGGGTTTAAGCATCAAAGTTTAAACCGTTTTCTGACAACGGGAAGGTGAGTCATGCTCACAGGGTCAGTGGATGGCAATTTAGGAGGGCAAAAATTGAGTGTAAGGTTGTGGATAAGTTGATAAGGTGTTGGCCGAGTACAAGTAAACACACTTTTAAGATATTATATAAATTTAATTAACAAATGCTATATAAAAACATTACAAAGAACAAGATTTATAATAATAATAATTTCAAACTAAAATTCCAATTGGTGGTTAGCTGGATTGCATCTCTCGTATTTCCGACAGAGGATAGTCTCTGATCCTCATTACTATTTATTTCTTAATTGGCCCTAGTCCACCTGAGAGAAAAGAGAGAGTTCTACTTACTAAGTTATAGATAGTAGAATCTTGCTTAGTCATCTGTCATCAGTGGTCAATGTTTAAAGGCAGTTGATCGATTGATTCCTGTTGTCTTGAAGGCCCCCAATAACGGGCCGTGAGCCCTCTTTATACCAAATTTGAGGGGGTGAGAACTATGACATTATTAATGATTTATACGCACACCTATTAGTATGTTGATGTCTGGATCTAGCTAGTGCGGACAACTGACACAGAGAAGTTTGTTTAATTTATTGATATTGGTGTCTAGAAGATATGATTTTATAATATAAATTTCTATATGTTTGATGGCTCTCATCCATAAATTAACATTCAGCTGACAATAATTTCTGTAAACTGGTCAACAATCTAGATATTGTTTATACCAAACGTCGCATTTGACTATGAACGAGGTGATTTATTGCTGTGACCACGTGTCACGTGCAACCAAACGGGATAAGAAACATCTCATATTCCCGTCTAGTTGATATTAACATCTATAGAGTTACCTTTAAACAAATGGAGGATATTTCCTTCATTGATATTTTAACATTCCCTTTTTTTTTTTTATTCGGGGAGAGCATCTCGGTCATTGACTGCAGAGATTCTCCTTTTTCCCTTTACAGAGAAAATCCCGAGGTTTATACTGTTTTAAGACAGAAAAGGGTTTCAGACTTTCACAAATATTAATTTCTGCAAAACTGAGATGTTTTATTTTCACATACAAATTTTTAAATAGAAACAGTTTAATTTCTGTTTGAAGTGTATCAGTTTGTTGATACAAACTGAGACACTTAAAAAACTCCAGATAAATAAACTTTCTTATTATAAACAAATGAAATACAATAAATTTTATCATCGGTGTATTCATTAATGATAAAATTAAAAAATCTTTAAACAGAATAGCAGTTTAATTTGCTTATGAAGATAAGCATTCCAGCATCATAAATATAAATACTAAATGAATAAAACTAATTAATTTGTTAAAATTGATTATATTTATAACTTCATAAGTTTTATATTAATATGCACAAGAATGAAATTTTAATTAAATAATAAATTAAAGATATATTGATAACAATTAGAATATAAATATTCAATTTGTTGCTATTATTGAGAGATTGGAATTTGAATTATTATATCTAATAGTTTGTTTATGATATGATATGAAGTTAAAATGAAAAATGAGGTTACAATGTCTGCAATAACAACAAGAATAATTTTCTGTTTTTGAATAATCTTGCTAAATTAAAGATAATTAGGAATAATAACATGATTAAGCAATTTACATTAATGTATAAATAACTAAGAAATGTTGATGTAATTTTGTAATTATTTAGAAAATAAATGCTCAACAAATATACACAATTCTTAAAAAATTGCTTAAAATATGCATTAACAAGTTTCCTGTGAAATTGATTCAAATAATGTCATGTATTTTTAATATTTTATTCTATTAATATTACAAATAATTAAATTTTATTAAATTATTAATCATTTCCTTATTTACTCTGTATCATATGACATGAAAGACTGATTCATTTAAATGTTAAAAAAATTTTTATGAAACGTATCACATTTAAAATACATACTTGTAAAGCATAATGATTTTGTATAATATATATGGCAATTTAATAGAAAAAAATTAATAAATTATAAAGAAATGTGTTCATTTATAATTAAAATTGAGATATTTTTATATTATGAATAACAAAATCAGAACTGATAAAAATTACATTATTAATCAACAATATCTTTAAACACCATCTAAATTCCAATATTTGTAAATATTTTTGGCTTTAAATATAGTCATCTTTAGGTTACATTGTTCCATTGTGAATAGTGTCTATGTAGCTGGAAGATGGTTGGATTTGAAGTAAAAAATATTCTCAAATATTAAAATATAGTGGTTTTTAAAGTGATTATTGATTAATATTTTTGTATGCCTTAACAATATACAACAATAATTTAGATAGATAAAAAGAAATTAATATTGAAAATATTATTTTATCATAACTGAAGTCAAATCTAGGAAATAAATACAGTAGAGCATCGATTATCTGACTTATTTGGGGACTGGGGTTGGTTGGATAACTGAAAAAATGGATAACCGAAAAGTACGAAAAAATACATTATTAGTATAGTATATTATTATATCCCATGTAATTAGTATATCGCTATTAACCTACTTCACGTTGAATTTTCATCAATGTTAAGCCTAACAAAATTTTTTAAAAATAATAATCATC